TTCTAAGAGGACTGATGTTATACTCGCCTTGTAAGACAATGTTATTTATTGGCACTGAAACAAACTTGCCGCACCCTCCAGCATCTGCAGCGGATCTTGAGAGGGGTGACCATACATATGTGTGTGTATGTATGTAAGCACACATATACCGTGCAGATGTGTATGTGTGTATGTATATATGCGTGTGGACATGTGTATGTGTATATATATATATGTATGTATGTATGTAGGTATGTATGTAGGTATGTATGTAGGAATGTATGTATGTATGTATGTATGTATGTATGTATGTATGTATGTATGTAGGTATGTAGGTATGTATATATACATATATGTTCGTATATACCTATAATATGAGGGCTGCGACGGAATACGATTAACCTTCTACGCCCACCCCCTGCAAAAAAAAACAAGACCCTCAATACTGAACCCCGAACTCTGGAGGGGTGAGCAGCTACCAACTCTAAGACCCTCTCTACACCCTAAACCCTAAACCGGCTCTGTATTGAAGGGGGCCTATAAATTTGCGGCCTCCATGACTTTTCTATGAGCTACGATGAGCAGTCCAGGGCTTGGACTTTGGGGCTTAGGGTTTGGGGTTTTGGTTAGGGTGGGCCGCCAATGCGTGGTGAACATGTAGCAGATGGATATTGAGGTAGGTGAGGCAGCCATGAAAAAGCTGAATAAGGGCAGCAACAGCAGGGCAGAAAGGCCGTTTGAGGTTTTGCAGTGGGACGCATTAAGAACTCCTAGCACAAGCTACCTGTATCGTCCACTCATAGCACCTTAACGCACACCATCATGGTACCCTACAATGCAGAACCCTACAAATGGTGCCCTTCAGTACCCAATGCATCGACAGTATTCTGAATCGTTTCAGAAATAGCGGATCGTGCGGCTTTGAACTTCCACGGGTGCTAGTAGCAAAAAGAGAGAGCTATTGGGCTTGGGCGGCTTGGAGTTCAGGGTTAAGAGCCTAGGGTTTCCTTGAGCCCTGGACCCTAAAGCCTTATCTGCCCCTCATGGCTTCCGCTCGCCTGGTGCCGCAAGAGGAGAAACCCGGGTCGGCGCGGCCCCGGCAACGAAGGCCACCTCATAAAGCAGCGATTCGGGCGACGTTAGGCTTAGAGCTAAGCAGCAACAGACTCGTGCCATCTTAACCCCGGCTGTCTTGGGCTCATCAACTTATGCGCCCTAAACCAAAACCCTACACCGTCAACCAGAGGCACAGAGTGCCTCTGCGCTTGCAGCGGCCATGGTGCCTCGGTTCACCTTGCGCAGTCATAGAACTGAGCGAAAGCAGGCGCGTGCACGGATGCACAATTCAAGCTACTCCACTGTAACCCAAAACCCTAAAGGCCCTAAACCCTGAACTTCTTACTCTAAACCCTAAACCCTAAACCCTAAACCCTAAACCCTACAAACCCTAAACTTGCCGGTCCCCTCCGCTTAGATGCACTCAAGGGGCAAGCCTGGCCTCTGACGGCGGCAGGGGGAGGCCAAAGGAACCGCGCTGCCGAGAGAGGTGAGCCAAAGAAGATGCGGACGCAGAATTTCGTTGACAAGAAACTTCCCCGGATCAGCTCTACTAAGTAGTCTACTATAGTTGAGGGACCCTTAAAGATGAGAATAGCGTTTTGGGGTATATAAGGTTACATTATTCGTACTGTAGGAACCCATACTATAGGTAATTCTTCAGGCTTGGCTGCGTCCTGCTTGGCAGACGCGAAAAGCGAAAACCCCACCACCCGTCACAAAGGGGAATTAGTGCCCCTTGTTTGACCCTAAACCCTAAACCCTAAACCGTGTCCTGCGGACACCGGCGAAGCCAAGCCCTTTGGGCTTACCACAAGGATCCCGATTGCTAAAAACCCTGCTGAAACAACAGTGGACCGCACGGAACGGCGGAGGTATCCAGGGACAACTTGATATGACAACTTCTGGAGTAGCAAATATGTTAAGATGAAGCGAGATTATGATACAGTGTTTGTAGTATCATATCATCTCAGGGTACATATGCAGCCCGCCGGGAACTGAGGCCTGTCCATTGGCATCCATCAGCACATGCTGGGGACCGAAATCCACAAAGACGTTTCCGAAGACGCCGCCAGTGCGCACGTAGATGAACTCAGAGATTTCACTGAGCGAGCGGTCGTACCACAAATGCTGAGGCGATTCGCACGGCAACATTCTTCGCAACACTTCTTCTGGGCTGCATTTCTGCTGTCCTGGGTGTCCGGCGGCCACAGGCTTTGGCTGATTCGTTCGGCAAAAGTCGTTCCACCTGGCATGCTGGCTTTCTTGAATGCTCGCAGACGACAGCAGGAACACAGCTTAAGCGATCATCCATCTCATGTACACAAGATGATTCCAACACACTACTGGTGCGTACTGGGGCTCTTCCGTAACATACAGGCAGACCTCCCTGTGGGCTACCGGCTACAGCCTCCCGAATCCCAAAACCCAGAAAAAAACACGTCAGGCGACTGCAGACTCGAAGTCTCGAAACAAAACTTGGCAGCAGAAGTCTGCATGGCCCAGCGCCCAACCCCTGAAGCCTACAAGGTCTTGACCTTCCGATCGCTGCTTTGGGGTTCCACACTGGGGTCCACAACGGGTTCCAAGCGTGTCGGCAGCGCTTTAAGAGGTCTGGCAAGGGCATGCTCTCGCAGACCAAAAGCACGGAATGCTGCCGCACCACCTGCGGAGGCTTCTGCTCGTTCTTCAACCCTAATCTCGAACCCCAGAAGCTCAAAACACTGAAAAAAACTGAAACCCCATGCTCCACTTCACGAGGACCAAAATCAAACAAGCTAAGATGTTAAACAACAATAATTCCAACCGCAGATGAAATCTTTTGTACCCCGGCCCTTTTCCTGCATGCAAGCAATGGAGGAGGCTTTTCGGAGGGCAAAAGACTGCACAGCCAACCCCCACCAGTTCAAGCTTTGAAACCAAAGTGGCAAACTTGCGAAAGGTCTCGATGTCCCTCATACTTGCTAGCTCCGCTCGACAAGAGCAATGCCGCTACACCCACCTCCGGTGTCAGGGACGTCTCGGTACGAATGCTGCAGAAGGGGTTCAGCTCCTGAAAGTAGTTCGACAAGCGCGGGCTAGCATTATTTGGAACGGGTAGGGGCATCTTCGATTATACTACAGGTTACAAAACCAAACCGATGTTACCTTAAAACTGGCATCATGCTCTTACTTCAGATAAGACCCCCTTAAGACCTGGACTGGCCATAAATGGGGGTTTCTGAAATTATGGTAATTTGTCCTTTGCCCTTATAGTGAGGACCCTGTCAGTGTAGGCTCTTCATGAGGGTCCCGATTGAAAGGACAGTAAGCCACTGATCGGTTGTTGAAGCTCCAAACCGAACCCTTGAGGCAAGGAAAGGTCTGGGAATGACCTTGTGATAGAAGCTTGTGGACTCGGGGATTGGGACATCGAGGATGTAGGGCTTCAGTAATATCCGCGCCAAATCGAGAATCACGCCTGAAAGGACTCAGTTGGTCGTCCTGGAACTTGGGAACGAGCGTGGCGGCCAAAGGCTTTCCCACGTCAGCCTCTGCGATATGAACTCCACAACCACCACCACCACAACTCCTACCGACACTGTTAAACTACAACAACGACTTCTGCAACGACAGCGGTGTAGAGGGTGGTGGTGATTGTTGTTGTGGCGGTGCCGGGGGGCCTCCTGTTCCCTGTACCATTCAACCGATCTTTGTGATTGTGTGCAACAGTGCTACCGCTCTGTGCGATAGCGGTGATTTCCCGGCTGCGGTTGCTAATTGCTGCTGTGTACATGAAGCTGTCGCCAATCTTGCTGGTGTTGTAGTCGTTGTTGTTGCTGCTACTGCCTTTGTGCTGTTCCTGTGGCAGTGGTCACGGTCGTCGATGTCGTCCTCGCGGGTCGGTCGTTGGCTCTGGTTCCTTGTTCTTTGAAACTTTGTTTTCTCAGAATACCCGTCTGCTTCTTGTTATTGTGTTCTTGGTGATTCTCCTCTTTTTGCTCCCAATCTCCAACGTCTGCATTGATATTGCGCCTGCTGCCAGCCCGATTGATTTTCAGCTACTGTCGTTGCTGGTCAACATTTCTGCTATGAGAAGCGGTAGTGTAGCACGTAGTATAGCAGTCGTCGTGATGGTGGCTACAGTCGTAGTCGTGGCCGTAGCAGTAGTCGTAGAGACAGTGACAGTGACAATGAAAGTGGCAGCAGCAGCCGCAGCAGTGTTAGCATTAGTGGCGACAGGAGCAGCAGCAGTACTGTGACTGCTGGCAGCAGCAGAATTCGAGCTACAAGTAAAATTTGCTCCCATTCTGGTTGCTCAACTCATGCAGCTCCGAATAAGCTCCCCAAGTTCGAAGCTCTCGACTTGCCAGAGAGGCAGGATTGGGTGGGCGCTGCCTCCGACAAGAAAAAGTTCGTCCCCAGGTCCTTCGCGCGCATGGACTCTCTCACCGCATGGTCACAAAGCGCTAAAGCCATCCTCCTTACTTGCCATCGGTGCCCGAAAATGAACCCGTTGTCGAAGAACCCCTTTCTGAGACTGGATTTGGCCTGCGGGCTCGGCAGATCCTTTTCGCAGGTGAACTCAATACAAACGAAAGAGCAACGACAATAACCCTAAACCCTAAACCCTAAACCCTAAATACTAAACCCTAAACCCTAAACCCTAAACCCTAGACCCTAAACCGTCAGGATTTCCGACAAAACGGATCTCTGTTAGGACACTTACGAGTCTACATTGCGGAAGGTTCTACATAATGTGTCGCCTGTTTTGCAAACCCTAACACCCTGAAACCTTAAGACCTTGCTTATAAGCCCTAAACCTTATAACCCCTAAACCCTAAACCCCTAAACCCCTACACCCAAATTGCAGAGCACCTCAAAGTTTCATGTTCTTCGGGCTTCCGGGATGCGGCACAGCGACGTGGCCGCGCCGGGCGAGCTGGCGTCAGCGATACTCGAAAGCCACACTACCGTCACCACCCTTACGACGACTTGGCCAGGTAGGCCGCGATGTCGTAGTGCGGGGCGGTGGGCTTCGGCTCGATGACGCCGCGCTCGGTGATGATGCCGCCGGTGATGAGGGCGCCGGGCACGATGTCGAAGACCGGGTTCCACACGCTGAGCGTGGGGCCCTCCGCGACGACGCGTTGCATCGTCGCCATGTTGTGCGTAATCTCCGTCGGGGTGCGCTCCTCGATCGTCACCGCGTCGCCGTCCGCCGTGCGCGGGTCGAGCGTCGTCGTCGGCGCGGCAACGTAGAAGGCCACGCCATGGTGCTTCGCGGCGACGGCCACGTTGTACGTGCCGATCTTGTTGGCCGTGTCGCCGTTGGCGCAGACGCGGTCCGCCCCGACGACGACGGCATCCACGCCGCGCTTGCGCATCAAGAAGCTGACGGCCGAGTCGACGATGAGCGTCGTGGGCATTTGCTCGTGGAGGCACTCGAAGACGGTCAGGCGGGCGCCCTGGTTCCAGGGGCGCGTCTCGCACGCGAACACCTGCGCGAGCTGCTTTTGATAGTGGAGCTGGCGGATGACGCCGAGCGCGGTGCCGTACTTGGTTGACGCGAGGGAGCCCGTGTTGCAGATGGTGACGACGTTCAGCTTCTTGGCGGCCGCGTCGCCGTCGCCGCCGCAGTTTGCCAGCATGTGCGCCGCACCGTGCTTCATGATGCCCTCGTTGAGCTTCGTGTCCTCCGCGAAGAAGCGCTCCGCCTCGGCGGTGTAGGCGGCCACGACGCCCGCGGCGCTGTCGGCGCTGCAGTCGGCGACGAAATGCTTCAGATCGCGCACGGCGTTGAACAGGTTGACCGCGGTGGGGCGGCTGGTGGAGATGTAGTCGAGGCTCTCGTTGAGCCACTGCTTGCAGGCGGCCACGTCGGCGAAGGTCTCCTTGTGCGCGGCCACGGCGACGCCGAGGGCGGCGGTGACGGCGATGGCGGGCGCACCACGCACGCGCATCTCCTTGATCGCGTCGAAGGTGTCCTTGAGCGTCACGACGGCGTCGTATGTGACAGTATGCGGCAGCACGCGCTGGTCCAGGATCTTAAAGTCTTGCGGGCCGCGGTACACGATCGCCTCGAGCACATCGGGGGCAGCCATGGCGTGTATGCTTCCAGTGAGTGGTGGCTAAATGGTGCTTCAACATCAACCCGATGGCGAGCGCTTTCGAATGCACCCCNNCCCCCCCCCCCCCCCCCCACAACTTTAGCGCATAATCGGCCTGTATGATGCTGAGGCCTGAGGGCTCTCGCGAAGCAAAGCTTAAGCTTCGGTCTGCTTTTCTCTTCCGAACTTCGCTGAACCCAACATCATACTCCTATCCTTGAGTTCTTGAAAGATGCGGCTCAACTCTGCGACTTCCCCGAACATGCAATGTTGCGAGAACTTCTCCTGAATCTGCACAGGCTTCTTGTCGACCAGCGTAACCTTGGCATGAACCAGATCGAGTAATATAGGGGCCTTAATAATTAGAATAGAATTTGGGGCCCATTGTACTACAATTAAAATAAAGAATCCGCAAAGTAGTATGTTTTTTGGTAACTGTTTAGGCCCCTATATTGTAGTGACTGCAGTGTGCCGGGGCTTCAGCGTGCCGAAACAAGCTCCATGAGTGCTGAAGGCGCATTCTACCACAGTTGAATCGTATAGTGTAGGGGCCTTAATAATTAGAATAGGGTCTTAGGGATTCCTAATTATCATTATAGTATGATGTACCCCAAAACCCTATTCTAATTACTAAGGCCGCTATATTATAGCGAAGGAGCAAGCCATGATGATATTGATAACTCCCGAGGCTCCTTCGTGGTTCGTGCTTGAAGTTCAGAGGTAGGCAAGACCTGCTCTTCATTGTACAGCGTGCTCACTCAAGCTGCTGCTGCAAGCACCACATGGGTTGCTTTCTATCTTCGGGTCTAATTTTGCAGGTCCCCAAACTAATACGGCACCCTTATAAACAGGGCCCCCAAAACGGACCCTAATTTAGAGAACTACCCATATGCCTCTAGCACTAGTGAAGTATGTCCTCACGATCCCGCTCCAAGTCTTCGGGCCCAACAGGACATCATGAAGCTCTCTGTCATTGCACACCCTAAACCCGAAACTGAGACTAAACGCACCTAAACCCTAAACCCTAAACCTAAATCCCAAACCCTATAAACTGAAACCCTAGGCCCGAAACCACCGCACTGCCCACCCGAAAAAACAACGACTCGCACTGAGGACCAGGCAGCCCCCAAGCCCTGAAGAACGAGGTTCTTCACGATCTCCCGCGTGGCGAGAATTCGCAGTGAGAATTCGTAATATACAAGATACAGTCTCTAAGATGTGTATACACCAGATATATATATATATATACATATATATATATATATAATTACGTTTATGTATATATATATATATATTTATTTATTTATTTATTTTATGTTATTTAGTTATGTGTCAATTTAACTATTTTTGCTGCGGCATATGATTTTAGGCTTTCCCAGGCCGAGGTCGAGGACGCAGGGTGCTTTTGCCTGAGGCTTACAGGGTTTAGGGTTTAGGTAAACAAACTTCCGAGCTCAGAATGAACCTCCGAGCGATGAACGTCCGAAGGGGAGCGTCGCGACGCCAATGACAAGCTCAGTACCCAATTAGGCACATGTCCTAAGTGCAGCAAACATAGTCATCCTGGCAAGAACATCCCCCAACGCTGTCCCCCGTACCATGAGCCCTGAACCTTAAGCTAGCCATACTTGATACAACCCTACCGGACTCTATCAGCTACTCCGACTCCGGGTTCAGGAACTCGGGCATGGAGGAATTAGCCCTTCAACATATGTATTATGTATATATATATATATATGCATATATATAGATAAATAAATAAATAAATCATATATATATATATATATACATACATACATGCATACACATATATACATATATGTGTATGTATATATGTTACCCTTTCCGCACCAATATAGGGTATTGGGCTTTCCGAAGTTTGTGGTGCACCTCCGCGGCGACGCCAGTGCAGCCGACGACGAGGGCCTTCATCTTTGTCATCTTCATGGTGACCTGCTTCGGTCAGGCTGCATCGTTTAAGAGCTGGGGCAGGTTGTGCCATGGTGGTTTTGGGGGGGACACACTGAAATAACATGATCACAACTTGTCTGTGTTTCGAATTGCCGTCCAGCCCCCATGCGTTCGTGCTAGAATGAAGCGCCAGCCTCGACCGAACACCCACAGAGCGCGCAAAACACTCAGAACTTGCCTCAGCACCAAAAGCCGCATTCTGCCGCGAGAACTTGTTGAGGAAGGCTTCATCGCCTTCAGGGCTTACCGGAATGTGACAAAACCCAGCGGATCCTAAAGCACGGCTTACTGTACCTTCCCCGCCAACTGCAGCAGAAGACATCGGCAGATCTCCTTCGATCATGTGCAGAAACTTCGGGCTGCGCAGGATTCAGCAGGAACCTCGCTTACATCTCGGGGCGGTTGCAGGCCTCATGTAAACCTGCACACTGACGCTTGAGGCCTAGGCGGAGCTAGGCAACATCTTCAATCCAATAATCTGGAATCAGCTCCTCATGTACCCTAACCCCCCAGGTACCTACTATATAGGGCCCTAGGGGCTGTAGTACTCTATATAGTAGGTACCTGGGGGGTTAGGGGTACGCAGTCCACACCGGGCCAACCCCCGCACGTCTCCTGCAGAGCCCTCGCCGCAGGTGCCTCGGAGGCTAGTCTTGATTTCCACAGGGTTCCCTGGCCCAGAGTGAAGAAAGAAAATGATGTAGCAGCAGTAACACCGGGAAGATAAAAGACTCGCAGCTTCAAGTTTAGCACTCGATCTAACTGGAAGGTTTCAGATCGGAAGCATAAGAAGCCGAAGACATACGTGCAAGGTCAAGGGAAATCTCCGTCAACATGAGATTGCGTTTAGGATTTTGGGCTTATGGTTTAGGCTAAAGTTGAAGGGTTTATTTCTGACTTATCAAGTTTTAGGGTGCCTAGCTAGTTGCAACAATATGCCTACCAGCCCTAAGGCCCCGAATGACTCGAAAGCAGAGCATTCCCTGAATCCTAAACCCCCAGACCCCCAAAGGCCCTGAAACCGAAGCTCTGAACCTCAATCCATAGACACCAAGCGCCCTAAGGGAGGTTAGAATTTACCGGGTTTCCACGCTATGGCAACTCAAGGCACAGGCTGGGCACACCTGGCACACAGCCATTTCGGGTTTACGGTTTAGGGTTTAGAGTTGAGGGTTTATGCTTTGGGGCGTTGGCTTCTGGATTTTGGGTTACCGTTTTTGTTTGGGCTGTTGGTATTTCTAGCAACCACTGCGCCTACAACTGCAAGATCGGTGCGGGCACGAGCACTCGTGGAATTGCCAGTCTACTAGTGAGATTGCTGCTTTTTGCTCGTAGCGGTGAGATCGATGAGACCTTTCCGTGTATTGATGAAAGCGTCATACACATCAACCGGGACCACCACTTTTTTGGCAAGGGGTTCGAATCATGCTAGCAGTTTGTGCCTGTGTACGTGCACAAAGCACCCAGTGTGGTCTGCAGTCTCAGTGGAGCATCCTACATCAAATCTCTTCGAACGTCAGCACCATTGCCTCTGGTTGTGTACGCACTTTGAACACGTACCATTCGCTTGAAGTCATTGACCATGACGAGAGCAGTGGTAAGTCTTCATGCTTTTATACAAGTTGTACACAACCAGTGCAACTTTCGTGCTCAGCGAATCAAGACCATAACCAACCGCTATTTCGCCCCGGGCCGAGGACTGACAGCCCCTGAATCGTCAGAATGCAAAGTCCCATCCGCCGAAAAACCTCGTTCTGTCAAAAATGATCTAGCTCCCGGAATGGCATCGCCGGGCACACCGAGCCCATCGCGCGTGAAGTGCCCGCAGCGCAAGCTTCGAGCCAGCGGACACGGCGGAATCGAATTCACTTCTGATCAGCGCGTAGGCTTACGCTCTTTTATTTGAGCCCCTTTTCCGTCTGCAGGATTAGTCCGCCTACGAAAGGTCATTGGGTTCAGGGTTTCGGGTTTAGGATTCAGGTGAGTAGTGCTATCAAGCTGGTTGGGGTTCTTTTTTGGAAGAAGCATAAAGTACGAGAATGCAGATGATACGGTCTCCACACGCTTAAGTTAATGTTGCAGACAGACCTGCGCAGTGATTCATGCACTGCTTGGTGATGTATGTCTACAGGTAGAACAAAACGAATAAGAACAAATATGTGTGTGCAGATAATATATGTACATATATGTCATATGAGGCATATGTATATACGCATGCAGAGTTAGATGTGTTTCGGAGAATGTATGTACCTGAAGATGCACAACCACTACATATGTATATATATATATATATATGTATATATCTACCCATATAGTATGTACGGGCATACAATCACAGATGCACACAAGCACAGCCACATGCATCAGAGCAACACTACTTGCAAAAATCTAGCGGCACAGAGACAGCACCAGCCGAAGCAATGTTACCAAACCCTATCACGTCAGCAGCAGAGTTTGCTTACTCTATTCTTGCTCTGTGTCACTGCCACGAACACACCCGGAACCAGTCACGTCTTCTCGAGAAACCAACCTGGACAGTCCGGCCGTGGAAAGGGTTTAGGGTTCAGGGTTTAGGGTTTAGGGATCAACAAACTCTGAACCCTAATCCCTTACACTCTGCACAACGGAAGTCATTAATCGGAAGCATATCAGTGTCGCAGACACAGCCCTTCGGTGCTCGTGTTACTTCTGCGGCGAATGAATCATGCATAGCCTGCTTGTTTACTTGCTTAGCCTGACCAGATGTTGATTAATACATCGTCTTCGCTTTTGTTGGTCCTTCTTCCGACAGTAAGCCCACATGAAGATACATGGGCAGTTTTCTAAATTAGGGTCCCTTTCATAAGGTTGCCGTATTATATTGGGGACCTAAAAAGGGATCCTAATTTAGAGAACTACCCATATAGTAACCCTCGTAGCACCCTTCTTAAAGGAACCTTATAGGAACCCTTATAGAACCGTTTAAGGAACCCTAAAAAAAGGACCCCAATTTAGAGAACTACCCACATCCCCCGGATCAAGCA